ATGTAAACAGAAAGAGGAGCAGTGTTTTGTTTTTCACACAATCCCTTTGAGATGATAAACAGGATGTCACACAAGAGGTAGTTTTGTCATGGAAATTGAGTCAATAATGTTATTAACTATTACAAGACATTTATAAAATGAAAGAAAACAATGAATCACAAAAGGCTTTGCTGAGGCTGATCGGCATGTGGTTTGGTTGGTTTATTTCTGCCTTTGGTGGCGTTTCTTCCACCCAACAATGTTGCTTCTTTCATGCACTTGTTAGAGGTCAGTGCACAGTCAGACTTTTCTTCTCCCAGTGAAAAAATACCTATCGTAGGCGAACAGCTCAGAGCATGGACAGGCCAAGCTCAGGCTTCCAGGTACTGGCACACCAGGCTGCTGACTGTTGTCTGATTCTGTCATTCCGCCCGTCTGACAGCTTATCTGTATGGACCCCCACTGCACAGAGCACAAGCCTGCTGCGCACAAAGTTTGTGTACAGACCATGCTGCTGTGCACTAAAAGTTCCCTAATGTACTTTGACCTACTGCTGTTTCAACCATCAGTAGGGAAAGTGCACCAGGGACCTTTCAGCGAGCAGGAACAGCTAGTGCACAGCAGGATGGTGTGCTGTAGATTTATATGAAGCGTCCATATTGACGAGCCCTGAGACGACCTGTGGTGATTATATCATGGAATAGGGCTGGTTTGGATAGTCTCTCAGTACAATTCTCAAGCACTTTGAATGCACCTAGTCCCTAGGAGGTCTGCAGTGAGAAAGCTGTACTTTACAAAGAGCATGACTGCAGAGCCCTCAGGGTGCCATCGCCGAGCCCGGCATTGTAAGGCGTGGCCATGAGCACCTGGATTTTTATTCTCTTCCATATTTATTAAGTTTTTAAAATGATGTTTTTGCAGGAGAAAGCACAAGCTGTTTGTAAAGTGCTTTGAAGAGGGAAATGTAGCAGTGCCCAGTGTTCCTACAGCTCTGGGACCTCTGTGTTCACCCAGCCCAGCGTGCCGGGAGCTCTCTGAGCACCAGGGGGCGTTTTCTCAGAACATGATTATGTTCTCACTAGGGCTTCTTGATTAATCGGTTAACTCACATGATTAACTCAAAAAAATTAATCATGATTAATCGCAGTTTTAATCGCACTGTTAAACAATAGAAACCCAATTGAAATTTATTACATATTTTAGATGTTTTTCTACATTTTCATATATATTGTATTCTGTGTTGCAGCTGAAATCAAAGGGCACATTATTTTTGATTACAAGTATTTGCACTGTAAAAATGACAAATAGTATTTTTCAATTCATCTCATACAAGTACTGTAGTGCGATCTCTGTCATGAAAGTGCAACTTACAAATGTAGATTTTTTTTGTTACATAACTGCACTCAAAAACAAAACAATGTAAAACTTCAGATCCTATAAGTCCACTCAGTCCTACTTCTTGTTCAGCCAATCGCTCAGACAAACAAGTTTTCTTTACATTTATGGGAGATACTGATGCCCTCTTATTTACAATGTCACCAGAAGGTGAGAACCTGCGTTCACATGGCACTTTTGTAGCCAGCATTGCAAGGTATTTACATGCCAGATATGCTAAACATTCATATGCCCCTTCATGCTTCGGCCACCATTCCAGGGGATGTGTTTCTATGCTGATGACACTCGTTAAAAAAATAATGTATTAATTAAATTTGTGACTGAACTCCTTGGGGGAGATTTGTACATCTCCTGCTCTGTTTTACCCGCATTCTGCCATATATTTCATGTTATAACAGTCTCGGATGATGACCCAACACATGTTCATTTTAAGAACACTTTCACAGAAGACTTGACAAAACGCAAAGAAGGTACGAATGTCAGACTTCTGAAGTGCCTTCCAAAATCTGAGAGATGAGATGTGGAGCATGCTTTCAGAAGTCTTAAAAGAGCAACACTCCAATGCAGAAGTTACAGAACCCGAACCACCAAAAAAGAAAATCAACCTTCTGCTGGTGGCATCTGACTCAGATGGGGAAAATGAACATGCATCGGTCCACACTGCTTTGGATTGTTATCGAGCAGAACCTGTCACCAGCACGGACGCATGTCCCCTGGAATGGTGGCTGAAGCATGAAGGGACACATGAATCTTTAGCGCATCTGGCATGTAAATATCTTGCAACGCCAGCTGCAACAGTGCCATGAGAACGCCTGTTCTCACTGTCAGGTGACATTGTAACCAAGAAGAGGGCAGCATTATCTCCTGCAAATGTAACCAAACTTGTTTGTCTGAGCAATTGGCTGAACAAGAAGTAGGACTGAGTGGACTTGTAGGCTCTAAAGTTTTATATTGTTTTATTTTTGAGTGCAGTTTTTTTGTACATAATTCTACATTTGTAAGTTCAACTTTCATGATAAAGAAATTGCACTACAGTACTTGTATCAGGTGAACTGAAAAATACTATTTCTTTTATTTTTTTACAGTGCAAATATTTGTAATGAAAAATTATAAAGTGAGCACGGTACACTTTGTATTCTGTGTTGTAAATGAAATCAATATATTTGAAAATGTAGAAAACATCAAAAAATATTTAAATGTTACTCTATTATTAACAGTGTTCACTATTAATTTTTTTAATCGCTTGACAGCCCTAGGTGTCACATTAAAGATACCCATCAAGATTGGCAGATGGCACTGCTGGGTACATTGGGGTTGGGGAGGGCAGGGCATTTCTATATTTTATTATTTTTGTTAAGTTTAGTGAAGCCTTAATGGGGTGGGGGGTGTATTACAGGCCACCTCCAGGCCATACCATGATTTCCCCTGCAGTTTGCAACCATCTTGGACATTTTCTCCTGTCAACACATCAGTAGTCTCTCACCAGTTTGCCCTGACAGACTGACAACGCTAATGATTATAATCCATGCAGTCACAGCATCTGACCTGATGTAACTCAGGGTGTCTTCATACAGATTTGCAATAGCTCAGAACAGGCAATGTGGATCTGAAGGAAATTGTTACTTGTTGTTACTGACTGTACACAAACCACTGATGTAAAAACTCCCCACAAACAAAGCCAGACTTTTCTTCCTAAAATCCAGATGTGGAGATGCTTACTCAGATCATAATGGGCTTCCAAACAGGCCATGAAAGAAGCTACTGTTGCAACATCAAGATTAGGGTTTCAGTGGGTCACATTTAAATACATATCCCTGAGCTTCTGTGCGCGTCGCAAGCAACGCACTGAGAACCCAAAGAAACGCCACAGCTTGACGCTGACATCTTATGTATTGTCATCTTTGATTTACACATCATCTAAAACTTACAAATTAGCTTCATACTTAAACTACTTCCCCAAGTTCCCCCCTTCTCCTGCCTTTTATGTGGCAGGGATGATTGCCGCGTCTTATCCTGAGAAATATAGAAATAACATCATCACAGACACCGAGCTTCATAGCTTCAAACCAAAACCAAGGAAGAACCACCAATTGTGATAGCACATTCACAGGAGGGATTTTTGTTGTTGTTTTCCTTTTAAAAAGTATTAAAGATAAAAGAAATTCAAGTTTTTTAAAAAAAGATTGGTTTGAAGGACTGGACTTTTAAAACCAATAAGCAGAAATGACTTCATCATTGCTTTGTGCTGAAGTCTGAAGAGTTTGTTCATACCAGCACACAGATCCTATAATGCAGCAACATAACGGAGTATGGGACATACAGGGCAGACAACAAGCAAGACTCCAATCTTCCTACTCAGGAGAAGGAAAAATCCTGTTTGTTGTGAACCTTCTCATTTATGTTAGCAGGTTCTCTGGGTCAGCCCAGTGCTCAGGCACACATATTCAGTAGGGACACAGGAACAGATCAGGCAGAGTTAGCCCCCACAGCCCTTTGCCCACTTCTTGACCTGAGCCTCTCTGAGGGGTTACCTCCAACCTCCTATACCTCAATTTTGCAGCCATGTTTGCACTTTTGGCCTCCAACAAGAAGCAAAAGCACCACAACATTGGGAAGAGGCTCCCCTGGGGCACTGAGCTGGCTGGAAGCAGGAAGTGAATCTTGCTAGATTCAAGAGTGGCCAATAAATATCTGAACTGACAAACCTGACACAGTAGGGCCATTTTCATGTCAGTGATGAGGGCATTCAGCTTGTAAACTGTCATATACACACAGCAACACTGAGCATTTAACCCGCAAGAGCTGCATCTGGAAAAGACCTTTTAATTGATAAGTTTTCAAAATGTGTGGTCTGCTCTTTGGTCTTTATGGCTACGCAGCTGTGGATAAGAAAGTTCAGTAACTGAAGACATGGAAAAGTGGACAGCTACACTAGCCATTGAAAAGCAAGCGTTATTCTACAGTATTGTCTAAAGGCTTTAGGAGTGAGATGGAAAGGGTTAAAGCAGCCCAGATATTAACAGTCAAAGAGTGGCAACTGTGCATGTGAAATTAATATTTGTAAGACTTCAGCTTCTTCCTAACACATGGTACCTACTAGGTGTTCATATTTCATCCCTTCAGGCGGTTGGGCACAGCTTAGGAAGAGGCATTTCATCTCTTCACACAGTGTATGCACTGTTGGGGCTGCACAGGTAGCTTCCCGGAATGTACTGTGGTTTTAATGGCCCATGGAAGGTTCTTGTCTTCCCCACAGACAATTCAATACACGAACCTGACAAGCAGCAGGAAATGAGAGCAGGAAAATGCTGTGCTTTGTGGCCTATGCCCCAACCTGAGAAACGAGACTTTTTGATGCACAGACAGTTCTAGATGTTTAGTGTCACACGGACAGACAACAAAGAACTGAATGCATTATACATGGTTGTAAGCAGAGGTGACACAGGGGGAGGGTCATGCAGGGTCATGTGCTCTCTCCTCTCCCCCTCCCGATTTGCTCCTTGGCTTGTACTGAGCATGCTCACACGGACTGAGCATGCTCAGTAACACTGCTGAAGCTGCTGCCCTCACTCTGGCCCCCCACTATCGGCAGCCATAGGGTCATCTCTGGTTGTAAATTTGCCTCCTTGAATTGGTGCTGCTGAGTGTAAACCTGATTGGGTTCTCACCAAGGGGGAGGGGCCTAAGTCCCTGGTGTTTATGGAATTAACAATTTATAGATATAACTGGCTTTGAGCTTCTTGCTGGCATGACACACTTGGCTTGTGAGTTATGTCCCCTTCTAGTTGCTGGTCCCCACAGAGGATAAAAGCCTACTACTGCTAAAGCTAATGGAGTAAAAATTTACTCTTTCAGCTCAAGTCGTGCTTCTATGGCCTTATTCACAGCCCTGAGGGCCAATGGAAAGATTCCAACTGACTTCAGCGGGCTTTTAATCATGGCCTGTGGTGCCAGGTCATTGGCATTTAAGTCCAGTACCTTCAGCACTGAAAGCAGTGGCCTTGCCACTTGAGCTAACGGAGTAACACCATTCGCTGATAGTAGCAGTTTCTTGGCAATGCAGTAATTAGCAAGAGATGATACTCAAAACCTAGAGAGTTTCCTGGAGCAGATTACAATTTTAAATGTGTTCATTTGTGAACTGAGCCCCCTCTGAATATATGAGCATATGCACTTCAAATTTGTATCCAAAAATCTGTTTGGATTAAAAAAAACTCTTCAGATTTACATTTGCACAAATACTATGAGGGAAAGGATGGGGTCAATTGAGTTATCTTTCAAACCGGAGATAAATATTGACTTGTCTTGGCAGAAAATTCCACCAAAAATGATTATTGTCTTCTATGACAGAAGGCCAGATAAGCAACAGCAGATACCAAAGATAATCCCCACCCAACTAGCATTAAGCACAAATAAAATATGGTTCCCTGTAAACCGAATGTTATGTGAAGATTGGGACAAACAATTCCAACTTTTGTAGGATGTCCTTCAAACCAAATTCACAAATACATCTAGTGACTGACCTAATGTCGCTACATTTCTAGCTACATTCCTATCTTCTCATCATAATACCTGAGTTTGCAATGCAACACATTCACTTTACCCTGTTTAAAAAACACAAGTCATTAGAGGACCTGGTGCAGAAGACATTAATGACTGTCCAGCGAGTTAGGTTCTGGTTCGGTATGTTAGTCTCGTTCTTGCTTGTGAATTTAACACAGCTTTTATGCTCACTGCGATACAAGGGGGTTTGTTCACAGATACTGCTGCCAATCAACATTTATCAAAATGGTTTACACAGTTGCAAGTAGTAGCACATCCCCTCCCTCCACCCCCATCAAGTTTATTAAATATTTGCTTGCGCAGCATTTTCCTGGGGAGTCAATTTTGGACCGAGTACAAAACAGATGTTTTTGTCAGGTGTTTGGCAAAAACAAGTTTTCTAATTTTAGCATAGAGATCTTCTAATTAAAACGAACTCTTATTCATCAATAATTAATCATCTAATAACTGTGGAATAAGATTACTTCTGTGCAGTTAAACTATTCCTGAAATGTGTAAGCAAGCCAGAAAATAACCCGTAATACAAGTAGCATGTGGAATTATTTGAAAATGAAAGTTAAAGCTGGCAATACTTCCTAACTTAGAAATAAACAGATACACTAAAATCTTCCCATGTATACTTGAGGTATATACTGTATGCAGAAGGCTTTCCTGAGAAATATGTGCTTGTCTCATTTTATAAACAGAAAGCAAATGAGATTCATGAAACTAACTTTGGATTCGTCAAGCGATATAAAAGTGGAATTCTGCTGATCCCAGCAGCTGTTACCCGTAACATCTTATTTTAGGAAAGTGTATATCAGCAGCTAGTGGACTACCTAAAGCAAGGAAAAAAATCAAGTGGGAAGATTCACAAAGCAGAATTAAAGAGAGCAACACTGCCTTTGGTCTACAGGGTTAGTCAACAGCTTGTCTCTGCTGAGATGGTTTTGGATGGAGTAGTCATCTCTTGCAGGCAGGACCCATTTGCACTTATTGTACAGAGTAACTGTTGACTAACCTAGAGATGTGCCAAGCTAGCAAGTTCCAATGGCTGTTGGGCTGCTATTACACTAGTCTGTAGGTAGCATTTGGGGTGGGACTGAATGATATGCTTCTGCTGTTCACTCAATTCATTTCTACCCACTAGCAGGTACAGTACTTCAGTGGCAAGCAGGTGCTTGTTCAGAAGAAAAGACTGCTTCTCCTGACCACATTTAATTTGTGCCATACACTATGATGGGTCATGACTGGACAGAGGATGGCAAGGATGTAAGGATGTTTTCTCCCAACCCAGAAGAGCAGAAGTTGTTTCCTGAAGAACTCGAGGTAGTTTAAAAATAGCAGGTTCTTTAACATTCAAAAATGTCTCAATCAGCCTAATGTAACCACTCAAAACAGATTCACAACTAAGGGTCCCAGCAGAAAATTCAGCAAAGGGAACATGGCTGCCTGTTAGAATGAGTGAGATTTCATAGATCTATGAATGATGGAAACAGGGAAAGAAACTCGACCCCAGCTAGCAATCATGTGGATACAGGAAGTCAAGGAGGACACTGAGGCTTAATGGACAGTAATACATGTTAATCAAACAGCAGCAATTAAAGTATTTTTGATGTAATGCAAGTGACTGAAGTTACTGGGTGGAACATCTAAATTCTGTGAGATTTAGAACTAAGTAATATAGATGAATTGTACTAAGAGCCAAGTTTTCCTACTACACTCCCCTCCAAGCAGTAAAATGGTACATGCAGGACTTTGTTAATACCCATATGTTCTCCAAGGTTCAACAGACACCCAATAGCAGAGGATACTGAAATCTCTTCTCAGAAGTCATATTTATTTTATCCACAGGAGGGATAGAAGCTGCTGGGTTTGAAGTGTTCGCTGATGTGAATTGCTTGTAACTACTGTAGTAGGAAATCCTCTTCACTGGAGTAATTTAAAAACTAGGCCAGATCTAGCCATGGAGAACATATATTGCCCTGGCTTCTCAGAATGCTTTTCCAGTTTGTGATTCTAAGAGATAGCATTTAGCCAATAATTAAATGATTTGCAGTCTGCCTGATTTATTTCTGCCACCCCATTCAAAGCCTGTTATTAATTACAATGACACAATTCCAGTTTGGTAGGAGAGTTGTGAGGGAATAATCATGCATCAGTTGGAGAGAGAGAGAGAGAGAGAGAACACAATTCTGCATTGCCCAGGGAAGGGGAATATGGGCTAGGGGCCTTTCTCAGCCTTGGAATGCTGCAATTCTCTTGTGACAGAATTTCAGGGGGACTCAATTTACACCATGAGAGTTTCATTTGAAAACTGAAGACGACTTTTTTTTTGGTCAACTAGTAGACTTCATTTCTCCCTCTGATTCCAGAGAAACTCCATTTTGAAATCTCTAGATTCCTGGCTTCCATTTTGAATAAGCAAGAGTCACTCCACCACTAGCTGACAGCTGCAGGTCACGTAGCACTAGGAATTGGCAGGAAAAAGAGGGTGGTAAACAACAAATGACAGATCATAACACTGAGGTAAATAATGGTCAAATGGAATGACTGACATGTGACCGTTAGCAAAGTAGGGTATAAAAGTCAGTGGCAGCTGAGAGTTGAGAGGTTGAGAAGGCAGTGAGCAGAGAAGGCAGAGGAAGGCGCAAAAGAGGTGAGGGTGAGACGAGGAGAAGCAGCAGTGAGCAGTGGGAGAAGAGAAGGATGCAGCAGAGGAGTGGGAGAAAGAAAACAGGAAAAGATACTGTGCCGTCAGCTGAGTAAGTTTGTCAGACAGAGTAACGGGTATAGTTATAGCATAGCATAGTATAGTGTGTGTGTGTGTGTGGGTGGGGGGGTTAATACAGATATATTGACTGTGTGTGTTGACTGTGAAAGGGATTTATACGTGTAAAAACTAATGGACATCTAAAAATGGCTGTTAGCTATCTATGACAGACTGACCATCTGAAGCAGGGAGCATCCACTCAGTATCGTGTCAAGCTATAAGGCAATGTGGTTTGAGGTGCTCTTTAACTTGTTATAAAAGGGATTTGTGTTTAGATTGTTACTGTGTCAAGAAATTGTCCAATAAAAGGTGCCTTGTTTTGGAATACTGCTTGTGTCAATAATTTATCCACGGCTGTATCTGTGTCCTCCAAGTATTCCCTTAGCCACCCTGGAGACCCACACTTAATGAGAACAGATTGGTTATAACAATAAACAGGTTGGCTATTCTGGGGGTACCCAAATTCTGGTTTTGGTGTACCACCTTCTCCCCCACTTATCTTTTTTGAAGCTTGGCACTTCTCTAATGCCCACACTCCTCCAATGCGCTCCAGCATTTGGGAAGTTAACAGCTCTCCCAGTGGAGTGAGGCAGTTTGCTCTCCAGGAAAACACTTTGGATATGAATCATGGAATGATCAGTACATGAACAGCATCTTCTCATTGAGGTAGTCTTAGTCATATCGGCCCCCAGCCCCCCAAATACAAAAGAACTAATCCTAACAAACACTGTAACATTAAACATCTTCACATTCTGTAAACTGCAAGAGAATGCATCTGCTGCATTCATACAGAACCATGTGCACTGTGTTGAAGATCATACATTCAACTCTGTCGTGAAATAAATATATAGGAAAAGAGTTTAAAAAACAAAAAAACAAACAAAAAAAGATTCTTGCTACAATGACAGGGCTACCTGACGCCCTGTCTCAGCAGCTCCCTACTGCCTTGATCATGGTTTTCCCTCCCCTCTCTCTTCACATGAGCCAGTTCCCCACCAGAAGCACCAGAGTAAGGCATGGGTTCGGGGCAATGAAGGCTCACTCTTTGCTCACGCTTGTCTTGCAGGAATGCAGAACGGCTTTAAAAAGGAGGGGCAGCTGCTCCAGAGGAACATTCACCATTTTTCCTGTTAAGAAAGAATCAGAATTAGCTGCCATTCCTGAGCCAGATTTCAGAAATGCTCATCTCCAACAAGCTGGTGACACTGGAGATGGTTTCACCTTGAACCTTTAGAGAAACAGTAAATCACCCAATTCCTACATTAGACATTTGATATTCTTTTGGAAACAACAGGATGTGTTATATAGTGGAACAGAAGCTAAGTGCGTTGGCGAAGTCAGAGGAAAATGATTTCCCCATAATGGGGGCATATTTTTAGAAGATGGGAAAGACTACATCCCACCTCTGTCAACCTCCCCTGTCAATCACAGTGACTAGATTGTGTGGGATGTGTCCACTGGTCCCATTGGACAATTCTGCTTGGTATGACAGAGGAAGGTGAAACACACAAATCCAAATCAACATGCCCTAGGGAAGCACATTTCTTCCCAATCCCAAATAACCTGTGTCCATTATCTTAACATTTAGGTACAAATGTCTGATGTTCTCATGAAGATCCTGGAATAATTCCTCTAGAGCCAATTAATGATGCATTGAGATGGAAAATTCACATGCAGATTTCAGTAACCCAAATTCCAGGGAAGTTCAGATCTGGGGACCTTGGTTCAAGCCTATCTAGGCTTTTATATTGTGATCTTCACCATGGTATGCAAGTGCCTTCTCTAGACTCAGTGCAAGCTCCTGCCTGGGAGGCCTTTACCATCTACAGATCAGGGTTATTTCTGCAGCAGAGAAGACACTTCAGAGTTGGGTCTGAAATTAAGACCCTAAGGAGGTTTCGATCAAGATACTAAGTAGAGCTCATTATTTGTGAAAAAAGAATATGCCTTCTTACCAGATGCCAGGCTTCCAAGGCTCAAATAGAAAAGGTCCCACACAGACCCAGCTTTATTATACTGGGTAAGATGAAGGGGGTTTATCCTGGCAGAGAAAGGCTCAAATAGAACAGGTCCCACACTGGCACTGCTGTCCAGCCAAGTAGATAGGAGTTTAATTATAAAAAGAAGAAAGTCTCCTTTAAAGGAGATTTAATGATTCACACAGGGGCCAGCTGGGAGAAGAGATCAAAAAGTTACCTGCAATGTATCGTATCTCTGGCAAACACATCATTAGATCCGGAAACCTGTTTGGCTGATGTGGGTACTTGTATTCTGTAAAATCCTGGCACACGTACCAATACCGTTTATTCAATTGCTCCAGTTGGGATGTATTAGCCAGGCCCCTAATGTCTGAGTGAAAAAGAGAAAAACGAAGTGACTGGGAATAGCTGTAATACTAGAGCAAAACCAGAGTCATATTTTTCCTCATCACTATTCGAGTCAGCAACTGTAAAATGGAAGGACAAATCCATTTATAAAACTCAGTCTAACAACATCTACCAAAATTATACAATGCTATTGAGCAGAGACTTCAAGTTTATAGTCACCACAGGATTAAAATTTCACCCTCCTCCTTCAGAACATACTGTAATGAATATCTCCTACATATACACACTTCAGATTAGATGTGAGGGTACAAGATCTTCCTTTCATAAGGGACACGGATGAGAACATATAATGTCCTAAGTTGCTCATGCTCAGAGATCATGAACCTTTCAGAAGATAACAGCTCTAGCAACCTTAAATCTCTACTTTTTTTTTTATAAAGTAGCTATATGTCAAGGCTTTCAGGCCTAACACAGGGTGCAACATAATATTTTCCATAGAAAGAAGCATGTTGATTCTAGTTACATCATCTCAGCTCTATGGGAAGTGTTCAGATCAGTAATTCAGGGTGTCGTCTGTTTAGGAATTATGCCATGTGAGCTTTATAAACTTGCCAAGCTTTTATTTTAAAATTTAGCTTTTCCAAATGTTTAGCAATGTACACAAAGAAAAAAGGAGATATTTCGATGCTAGCAAAATGATTTGAGAAAGTCCCTTTGAATGTATTTCAGCGTGATCAATGACATTTAGATCCTACTTGATGTCATGGGAGGGGATCCAATAAATTAAGAATAGGCAAAATATGCAACTCTTCTGAGGCTCAGTATTGTTCTTCAGAAATACTATACAAGGGAAGGAGCATTTATTTGCTGTCCAAAAGCTGACCTTTACAAATAATTTTCAGGTATTCCACATAAAAAAATTGCAAACTCCAACTAAAAATAAAAGAAGACAGGAAGTGAATGAAAATACATTTTGGAAAACAATGGAGACAGCTAAAGAAGTCTATCATCCAGTGTCAGGAAACTGTCCAGGGAAGCAAACCGGAACCTGTGCCGGGGCGCACACTGAAGTGTCAGCACAAAACACTTGGTATAACCAGGGGGTGGAGGGAGATTTCAGCACATCCTTGCAAAGTAGAACATTTCCCTGTGGTACAGAAAACTCCCAGTGGTACTTGTTTATTGAACTGCTTTTGAAACTCACCTATTAGACTAGTGCCATTCAATAGCTTTTTTCATTTATGCACAAGCAATACAGAAAACAGTGGTAACATGCGTCATAGATGTGCAATAACATCATACACACTAGTACTGACATGGGAATCACACCACGGTGTTAGACTGGAGTGACCCATACACAAGTGTTACTGAAGAAAGTGAACCTTCCAAATCCTTTCAGCATGGTAGAGACTCAGAGAAAAGACCAGTAACTTCCCACCTTGGACTACCATTGCAGAATCAATTTGCATGTTATTTCTATGCTGACTTCATGAATTTTGAAGTGTTAGGAGTCTCATAACAGAATTGACTGACAGCTCTAAAATGTTGTGCTTGACCACAAATGGAGTCAGTCCCGTATTAGGCAGCATTCATTACCTGAAAATATTACTGCATTAAGCACCATATTAAAGGACAAAATGCATGTTCTCACTTTCTTAAAAAATGTCAGATAAAGGTATTAGGTGAAGGGAAACATCCTGATGAAGAATCCAGGAAATAATGCCAGTGAGGTTAGCCAACATTTAGCGCACAAAGGTTTACAAAGTTAACAGCTTAAATTGGAAAAAAGTGATGCAAATTGGTTGTCTTGATTGCTGCCTGTCAGAAAACGCCTAGAGCAGTGATACCCAGACTGAGGCTCGCAAGCGGCTCTTTAATGCATCTTCTGCGTCTCTTTGCAGCACATGATACTAAAAACACTGTGTGATTTAATTATTACCCCATCTAAGTTATTAACCAATCCGGATGCTTTTACTATGTTATTAGCCAATTGTAATTGATAAAATGATACTTGGTCAGTCATTTTGCTGGGAGAATAAAATTAAATTACACACACACAGGGAATTCACACGACTGTGGCTCTTTCGGGTAATGTTGATCGTTAATTTGGCTCCTGAACCACTGAGGTCTGAGTGTCACTGGCCTAGACCCTTCCACCATGAGCAGCAGTATTTTCAGATGACATGCGCTTGTGCATGGTGAGAAGTTTGCCACAACAGCTGGTAGGCAGTCAGTCATTCAGGCCTTATCTAGAAAGATTTCATCAGTCACTCTGCTCTGTTCTTATTCTGCTGCTGGTAAAGTAGGTACGTATTTAAAGTGACGCACATATTGTCCTTGGTGTCTACGATTAAAGGCATTAAAAATTGATTAAGCAAAGTGAATCCTTTCACTTCCTCTACAATTGCTTCATTTAGGTGTCTGAAATAGCACACACTGCATATGGCTGTAACTGCACAATGGCAAAAACAAAACCTTTTAATACTCAGGCGTCTATTTCAGTTTGGATTTAGGACCCCTTCTCTCTCTCCCCATCATCCAAAGGAAGCAAAGATTGACAAGCTTATTGACTAGCCATTTACTCCAGTGGGACTAATCCCCTTCTTCCGCCACTCACCTTGATTGAGGAAGTTAATGGCTTTCATACATGCATACTCCTCATTGCTGACCTTCAATTGGTTAAATTTGCGGTAGAGGTAGATCAGCCGTTCCATCACCTCCATTCCCTCTTCACTGAATCTGAAGGAAAGGGAGACAGATGCACACAACAGGGTACTCAAAGAGGAGAGGCCCTTTGCAATTAAACAGTAGGGAGCTTAGTGACTTACTAAAACTCCATAGCGTTTAAATGGAGGGAGGGATAGCTCAGTGGTTTGAGCACTGGCCTGCAAACCCCAGGGTTGTGAGTTCAATCCTTGAGGGGGCCATTTAGGGAACTGGGATAAAAATCTGTCTGGGGCTGGGTCCTGCTTTGAGCAGCGCGTTGGACTAGATGACCTCCTGAGGTCCCTTCCAACCCTGATATTCTATGAAAAGACCTTAATGCCTCGCATTATAATTCAGAGACCCAGATGCTTCAGGTCTGTTGGCACTATTCACGAGAAGCAAAACTGGTAACAAGGTGATTCAGAACATCATATTTGCCAGTTACATCAGACCTTTAAGGAAAATGGGGATTTCACGGGTGCACATCGGCATAGCTGCTTGTGAACAAGTGATGCATGGTCATGGTATGACTGGGAGAAACAGGTATTAGAAGTTCCTGGCTCTGCCAATGATTTCTTGCATGGCCCTGGACAAGTTACTAATCCTCTCTCTCTCAATTTCCCCATATTTAAATGAAGATGTTATTTCCCCACCTCACAGGCTTGTTGTGAGGCTTAATTCACTGGTTTGAGAAATGGGATGATCCTTACACAGAAAGCTCTAGGGTTGTGCGAAGTATTATTACACACTCAGTAATAGTTACACTATATTTTATGACCCATCAGCTGTGCAGGTCCATCAAGGAAGTTTGGCGAAATCTATACGACTTCCAGCTACATTATAGTTATTCACTATTACAGGGTGTCCATTATAAAATGCAGGCTACAGGGCAAAGGAAGGGTTGAAAACAGGAACAGGAAAACCTCAAAAGATTTAGTGGTTCCTTTCAGCTGATCTTTCTCAGAAGCTCTTCTTTAGAAATCAGTCTAGAAATTTGGAATGAAGAGACTGTTCTGCTGCTCATCTTGGAGCAGACTCAGCAAAATCAGGCTTGCCCTGCCAGGTTCAGTATGTGCTAAGTACCTGATGGTTGGTCCTGGACCCCCTAGGCCTTCACGCTGGATCCAGGGCACTCATTGCTCACATTACACAGCGCTCTGCCTGCTTCAACACAGCCACTCGTCTTAAGGCTTTATACTGAAGAAAAAAAATCACACCATCCTCCTCCACTCACCTTCCCAGCACTTCCCCAGTTCTCTCTCTCAGCTCCAGCCCTCTGTTAGCTGCCATGAGCCCTCCCCAGCTTGAACTTTTCTCCTAGCCAGGCGGTGCTATAGGAATAGGGTGTTAGAACATCTCACCTGAGATTTTCACCAGTCACACAATGTGGTCATGTCACGACTACAGGTGATATAAAAGTGATTTGTTTGTCCCATTTGGACATAGGCTTCCTCCCCCATTTCCGTCAGCATGGCTGTACCCCACCATGTCAGAATGAAACTGCACATGGATATGTGCTGATGAGCAAAGCTTCAGATGTGAGCTCTAAACTAGAAGGTGAGCAGGAGATTACATGCAAACGTGGGAGTCTGATGCACGAGAGACAGAACGTCCAAGCCATTTTAGAGTCAGGAGGAGGAGCTGAACTCTTTCCAAGAAAACAAACACAGACAGTACGGGTAGCTTGCTTACAACAAGCTGCAGATCTCTCTCTGAGCTAGGACACTTGCCCAAAGAACTTGCTAATGGGGAGGGACATGTAATAGTAGGTTGGGAAGGGCTCACAACAGTCCAGTGACTGCAGTCTCTTAAGAGCTACGGAAATGAGCTCAATGGAAACTCTGTAGTGAAGAGTCCTAGTCCTGTAGGGAATCCTAGATTTCTGCAGGAGGAGTCTGAGAGGACCCCTGCTTGCAGGTCACTGGATCACAGGACAGTAGACAAAAAGATGGCATAAGTGACATTTGTGAGACTCTGAAGGTACAAAGTGTTCTAATTGTGCAAATGGCCAGTAGCCATTCCTGCTACATGTGGTTTAAAGCAATAAAGGCTAGTTTGGAAGAAATAGGACATTGCATAAATCTTCAGCAGTGAGACAGAAGTGTTCAGGAAAGCTTCAGCTGTGTGTTCTGGCATTATACAGTACACAATCAGAGCATAGCCAGAAAGCCGTCTCTGAACAAAAACAGAACAAAAATAAAACCCCTTTCACTGAATATCATCTTATTTTGGCACGTGTATTTGTTTACTTCAAAGTTATTTGTAAAATGCATGGTGGAGTTTGGCCTCACAGAAGAGAAAACAAGCTGTCTGAACTTTAGGTCAGTTCTTCAGGGAAGTAATATTGTAAGTGATGAAAGCCTTGTCGGCTAATCTAAAGTTGTACAATTTTCTTGCTCTCAACTTGACATTAAAAATCCTGCAGGTGCAAGATTGCAAAGCTCAAGAAGTTAATGAGCACAGAGACCACTCACAATCCTCTGCTGGGTCTAATTGTTTTTTGAGAATGCACATTTTTACCAACCACTCGTCACTTCCATAAATCCAGGAGAGCTCTTCTCTCATGCTTGCAGTAGAAATGGCTTGGTTTTCTGTGCATACATTCCTCCCTTTTTCAAACAAAGCTGTTCTGTTTTGCACAGCCCTATTCCTTCTGGAGCACTGACTCCTCCACACACAGTCTGCCTCTCAGCTTTTACACCAGTCTAATTTCTGGCTATGTATTATCAGGAGTAACAGTAAAAAGTTCAAGCTGCCATGCATTTTCTTTGCATTTTTACTAGACTCCAGAGATTTAAACATTAGATCTAGAAAACAGACCATTTTGCCAGCAGTTTAAACCAGAATTAAAACATGAAAAAGTTGATCATATTTATTCATTTTTCATCTACTTATATACTGGCAGTCAGGGTTATGACCAGGAACAGAAATAAACTACAACCTTCTAAGTGCCAGGGTATCTTAGGTCAGCATATTGTTTTAAGTTGGCTAACAGACAACCTGAATCTCAGACTGCAACAGCCATTCCTGAATATTGGAGAATCATTACGGTGAGCTACTCTACCATGAAAAGAGCCAAACAAAACCCTCTGTTACACCCAGATCATCCCAGTGAACTCACTGGGGTTACATCATGCTTTTATATGAGGGGGTCATGCAGATCTATGTTTCAACAAAGAGTGGTCTTAAAAGCAAAGACATCAGTGACTGCTTCAGAAGAGATGGCCTCTGGTGTTACTTGCTGGAGATGCAATAAACTCTGTTTGTACCACAGAAGGAAAGCTGGTTGACAGAAATGACCATTACAAAGCCAACATTAACTTGGAGCAGTACATGCTCATTAGGGCAGCGCTGAGCTGGCCAGTGGCTGGTGCAGCAATCCAGCTTACTATCAAACCTGTGAAATCCCAGAGTCCAGGCAGAGGTTGATTAGAGGAAGAAACACCAGACATTTGATTTAATATTAAACATAAAAAATGAAAAGGCAAGGCACGGTTTTGGGGGAGAGAAAACATCTAGAGCTTCTTTTTTGCTCCCCAGTTGTTAATGAGCCATGGAGGTGCCAGCCAGGGACACTTGGCTCTCACAGAAGATAGGACGACAGGAGCACATGGGAGAGTGCTGCTAAGACTTTCACTCTAATATTATTACTACTGCCCTGCTATACACGGATATTTAAACTATAAATAAAATGCTCTGAAATAAGAGGACTGCATGACTGAATTGGCCCCCAGCTGTGCACCACACACAACATTCTTCCTTCCTCCCAAATGGCCTGGTAAAGTTACATTTCCACTTTTTTGCTATCATCAATTAGTGATACTTTAAATGCTGAATCAGTACCTGCGGTTAAAGGAACCATTCCACTGTCAAAACACATCTATTATTTTAACCCCTTGGATAAATACACAGATCTTCTCTAAAGCATCCCTGAGGCTGGCAGGCTAGAAATTGCCAGTGTCGGAAGGGTTAAGAAGACTCCTTTATTATCTCTTTCATTTCGGGTCTGCCTCATATTTTACACACATGTCAACTTTTGGGGCCTTGAGAGGGAGAGCTTGAGCATAAGCAAACCTGCGCACAGGAGTAAGTGCTTGGCTCTCGCAGAGAGACTCCTCATTGAAGCTGTACTCATTGCACTGTGAATGTCTCTACTAGATCATGGATTATTTATAAAATGACACTCGAGATTTACCATCCTATAATTACCATGGCACAACGACCAGCTCCAGCAAGGGCAGAGCCAGAGGAGGTCAAATATTAACAGGGAGGCTGGGCAGCCAGTTAAGTAAATCCTGCAAATGTTCTGTCACAAGGCTGTCAGTCTCTCTGCTATCCAAACAAGAATCCGTCTGGGACTTGGACTACAGAAGAAAGAAAACTGACCATGATGATGAATTAAGGCAGGTCATCACTTGGAGCATCAGATAGTGCTGTTTCCTCCGCAGTGTCAGCTAAGTTGCAACATCATTAAATTTATGTAATCAAAAACAATGAAATAGCAATTAATAACGTAATATTGTGGAAACAAGGTCACTAGCTGTGTGATCAAGTTCTTCATTCTGCTTCTAACTGGGAAGCTTTGCGAACAAGCTTTTGTCATTTTGTATCTTGTGGTTATTTACAATATTTATATAGTATTTCTTTGAGCCTGAGTAATTGCTCACATAAAGGGGCTCTCCTCTCAATCCTAGGGTGAAGAAAGGAAGAATTTCTATGGGAAAACTGGCCTTGACACTAGGTTATCACACTCTGCTTTTCTTCAGAATGCTGGGAAAACTGTCTTGTCCGAGAGAGATCTTCAGTAGTTAACAGGAATGACACTGGCGAAGCTAGAACTAGAGGGGTTACTCCTAATTTGTGCCCCTCTTCCTCACCCTCACCGCACAGGTTCTGCACGTGCTACAGTGCGTCTGGCAAGGCCCCAGGAGCAAGCTTTTGTTGGTTGGTTGGGTTAAAACATCTAAAAATGGATCATTTTACCCCAAATTTTTGTTTAACGTTCACTGCTCTTTAATTTCATCGGGTTTTAATATCAACCCTGAGGAAACAATTAATAAAAAGCAATCTATTTGAAATAATGCACTGAAGCATTTTAGAGAGTTTCAGAAGAATGCTTAAGAAATCTGCCATATTCCATCAGAACAGTCGGGGGCAAACTTCTGTGAACTATATACGCTCAGACGGATGTGAAGAAAATGAAACCAGCCATTTCAATGACAAAAGTAAACTGAAGTCATGGGATCTCTCACTCTGATAAATCTCACAGGACCTGCCCTTTCTCCTGTCTCGGGTTTCAAAAGGATATTTCAAATTGAGAATTATTTAAGGCCTTGTCTACACAGTTTGAGCACTGAGGTAAGTAAATTAGCACAGAAGTTCTGTGTAGACTAGCTCTAGATGAGTCATCTTACAGGGAGACAAGTTTAAACCCTACCCTTATGTTTTATACAAATAAAAATAGGAGGCTTGCGAGAGGTCTAAATCCTCATTTAAATAGAATTGTATTTTTTTAAATGAAGAGATTTTTGAACATATCCCTGCATACAGGGAAATCCAAACATAACTACCATGTGGCAAGAGCATGGGCATGATTTTCAAAAGCGATGGCAAAGCTGATTGAAATTTTGAGTTTTGAGGAAAAACTATGAAAAACGTCTAGTCTAGTGACTTGTGATTTCGGGTGCCTAATATGAGATACTTTGGGCACTCAAAACTGAAAGTGAAATGGACTAGTTTAATTTCACAGTCCCAAAGTGAAATGAAGTGTAAACAAACAGCATAAGTGGTGCTGGTAGGTTGTAAGATCCAAAGAGCATCATGTGTGCTAGGAATGCAGATGAGGCATATTTCACATATCTGGGGTCTGCTTTTCCGAAGCGCTGAGTCTCCGAACTGTGGGGGCTCAGCACCTCTGAAACCCAAGCCTATGCTATGAATCTCAAAAGGGCCCTTTAACACAAGATCTAGATCCCCATTCATAATTCTTCACCCCAACTAAGGCTTTGTGGGATTTAACTGTTGCAATGTAACTGACTTTCGATTTCAAGCTCCCATTTATGCCGGTCACCCTTGAGATTAGAGCTGAAATGACATCCCTCAGCAAGCCAGTCTGAATGGAGCACATTGAGAGGCCAACCAGTGCACAAGGGTTTCCAGAGGGAGTCTATTTCTATTACAGTTTTGAGTAATCTCCCACCTCCCCAAACAGACTTTAGAAGGTTTCAAATATCTAAATAGCTTTCACGGGCTGGAGGGGGCTAAGGACAGCAGAGGGGCTAGCACTGCAGGCAGAACAAAGGGATGCACCCTACTCCTTGGGAGTGGCAGGCATCACTCCCTAGGCAACCCTTTGGCAGCTGATTGACAAGGTCCAGAGGGTGTTCCGCACAACCAACCCCACACAGGGATTTTGAGATGGGTAGAAAGGGAAGATACCCCCCTTTTGCCCACATGCTCCCCACCAAAAATGTTTTATCTTCTCTTGAGCAATGATCCCTACACGTACATATAAAAGATTTCAGAGTGATTTACAAGAGTGGGGACTATAATCTCTTCATACCAAGAGGGAAAGTGAGATGCCAGCTGAGAGACTTGTCCATGGATGAACAGTCAGTGGCAGAGCCAGGAACAGACCTCGTCCCCCCATTACTAGATACTGCTACAGCCCCAGAAGATTTAACCCATCACCTCACCTGTGCAGCTCATCGTCAGAGGGAGAGTACTTGGAGGTTACATCAGCAAGGTCACCAAAGATCTGTTTACTGTAAACGGTTAGTGAGGACAGCAGAATCAGCTCCTGCCATGTGGAACTTAGCAGGCAAGTATAGTCCTTGATTGAGAGTTCACAGAAGAATGGCAGCTTCTTTATCCAAGCAATCTGCCTGAAAAGCAACTCATCTGCCAGACGACACAGCAATGCAAACAGCTCTGCCTGAGTCACTTTATACCTGCAGGCACAGTTAATAGGAAAACATAAAAACGGATTAAAAACATTGGAACACAAGGCACCAGAATAACCAGATAAAATTTGTATGTGTCTTGATTCCTGGTGACCACAGTGTCACCCAGTGGTGAGAACAGAGACTGACTGCTGGCTTTTCTGCTCCTGAGCCCGCAGACAGCAAGCGATGAAAGGTACCATCCCTGCACCTGTGTTTCTCCCCGGAGACGAATGCCATCCCTGAAGATGCTGACTGAACTCAACTAGCAATCTTCTCATTCTACCAGCAGCTCTGCTCTCAGGATGCCTCCTGCAGTCCGGGACACCAGACAGCTTAACAAGCTGCTGCTGCTTCCCAGTTACAAGGAAAGCGGATGTATTATGCAAAAACCAGAAAAGTGATTTCACTTGTGAAATAGATCCTCTCAGCCATCAGACATTAGCATCACAGTCTCAGCTGTAGCCCTTGGGTGACATTCTTTGGCTGCTGGCTTCAGAATCAGGCATAGTTTATTTAATTACCTATACACATGCAAAATTAACAGATCTGTAAATACAATGTTATGAATTTAAATACTCAAAAGGTATTCCCCCAATAACACGAATTTACACAGGTTCCACATGCTGTGCATGTGCAGAGACAGTACACACAGTATCGGCATTACAATGGAGTGGCTCAGGGCAGCCTCACTCCACCAAATCATGTGCACTTACCCATCTTCAATAAGCATTGGAGTGCCAAGTGGTTCCAGGTCCTCAGCTGACACTAGCTGATTGATGAGACTATGTGACTGGGGATCTAGGCTTCGGGTCTGTGGGGGCATCAGAGCTGAGTGAGCAGAGTAGTTAAAAAGGTGCGGTAGGTACTGATAGTGCGTGGACACTGGAGTCCCAATATATTGATCCCTGAGTGCAGTGAATCCATTCAGCTCCACAGACCTACTGAAAAGGGAAGATCTATTTAATGGACTGGACAAACTCCATCTAACTCATTACAATCTTTCATCCAGCTCAGGGACAGATGGAAATAAGAATGCTTCATAGAAAAGAAAAGGGATGAAAAATCCCTTCTGGTTAAATTCTGTGGTGAAAGCAATCAAGAGCATGCAGACCAGCTGCTCCATACTTGCATCATGTCCAGCCTGACCTCCATGCTAATTCCATTGAATGTGACTTTCTAGAAACGCTGCTGCTTAGAAAGCATTCTTAGACTAAATCACATAGCCAAGGTTTATGCTAAGCATTTCCATCTCTACCTACTGAGAGGCCCAGAAATTAGGTTTGTGAATAAAAAGGTTTACAAAACCTATGAATAAAAATATTTTCATTTACATTTTTAAAACAACTGATAATGGAAGTGTGTGTATGCATGGGGGGGGAGCGCATTGGTTTGACATTTAAACGTTCTTTCCAGTGTTTGCAACCCAAGTACTGAAACATTGTGCTAGGGGACACAAACCTAAGAGTAACACAAACTATAAAGTAATTAGAAAATCAAATATGCTGATTAGCTCATTTTCAACATACAAACAAAATAAAATGGAAGAAAGTGAGCAGACACCATTACTAGGGAAAGGTAAATTATGTGTATAAAATGTTCAGATTTTCATAATCTGAAGTGGTATTAAAACAGATTAAGATATCTGCTTTAAAGGTAAGACCTTTAACCCAACATTCCTTTGCCACTCTTTCATGAAAATTTTATCTCCAATCACATTGGATTGATCTAACACAGTGTATATGTCTCTAGCTAAAATATGTTCACGAAGAGGTCAGCATTTGCAAGATGTGTTTGAGTTACACACGCAAAATGCTTATTTTCACTTTTGGCCCAAAATGTAGCCCTCAGGGCAATAAAGGCAGTTACATTCATCTGAAACTCTTTCAATGGAAACTCCCACCTTGAAGACGGAGTAGAAACAGGTGATGGCTGGTTGCTCTCAGAAACGCCATTCCCAGGAGAACTATGGTCACTGTCTCCATTGTTACTCCAAGAGATGTTTGCCTCCCCCTCAAATTCTTGTCCAGACATAATTCTTTCAATCTCCTCCTCTGATATCTTTTGGGTAAAAATTATTACATTTAGTGATAAACTTATTCCAGCCAAGCACATAACTAAGCAAGACTGAGTTGCACATACCACTGGAGCTACATGTACTGCTACTTTAGTATGAAAAAATTACTAAAACCTAGAATTTTTTGAGAGGGGTCTTTTATATGGGAGGAACATTCAAATATACTTCCATGCTTTTCTTATTGTTTTTCTACTTTTTACTAATGAGAGATTTGTTTTTAAATAAGGATTACAGAATTATCTGACTGCCCAGAGTCATAACAGTACAAGCCAAGTGAAGTCAACGTGGTTCTACTTAGGGGAGGAAGATGGTATAAATGAGGCCAGAATGAGAGCTTAAGGCAGAAAGAGAAAGAAAAAGTTACTGACCTTATAGTAACTGGAGTTCTTTGAGATGTGTGGTCCCTATCTGTATTCCACAGAGTATGCATGTGCTCCACGTGCCAGGAACTGGAGAATTTAGAAAGCAGCGTCCATTGGTTCACACATGTGCCCTGGCTCACCTCATGCCTCTGACAGAGGAGATAAAGTGCAGGGTAGACCAACCACCTCTCCAGACCAACCACCTTTTTCTTCTCCATTGCAAATCAGAGAAGATCCGAAGCAGAGGGGAAGGAGGGCAGGTAGTGGAATAGAGATAGGGACCACACATCTCGAAGAAACTCCAGTTACTATAAGGTCAGTAACTCTCTTTTCTTCAAGTGCTGGTCCCTATGTGCATTCCATTGTGGGTGATTGACAAGCAGTACTCAAATAGGAGAAGAGTGCTAGGTCATAGATGGCAGAGCCAAATGAAGGACTGCTGTTCCAAAAGATGCAATCAGCAAAGGAGTTCTGCACCAAGAGACAATGTCAAGTAAATGTGTGGACTGAGCTCCATGTAGCTGCTTTCCAAATATTAAATAGAGGCACCTCTTGAAGTGACACCATAGATGTGGCTTGTGCTCTTACCCCATGAGGGGAAGATTAAACACCTGATAGAGCAAAATACAGCCAGAGATCCATTTTGAGATTCTTTGAGAGGATACAGCCTGACCCCTGACCCTTTCTGCTATGGGATTTCTTGATTGTTTCCCTGCTCTGCATGTAAAAAGCTAAGGCTCGCTGAATGTGAAGGGAATGCGGTCTTTCTTCTGAGGATGCGTGAGATTTTGAGAAGAACACACGTAAGTAGATACACTGGTTCAGGTGAAATGCAGAGACTACTCTGGGAATGAATTTAGGGTGTAGACATAATGAAACTCTGTTCTTATGAAATACAGAATAAGGAGGACCTGCCATCAATACCCCAAGCTCATCAACCCTCCTGGCTGAGGTGATAGCTACGAGGAATGCAACCTTCATGAATAGGACAGACATGGAGCAAGAAGCTAATAGTTCGAAAAGGAGGCTTAGTTTAGAGAACAAGGTTCAAGCCCATTGAGCAGTAGGCCTTTTTTTCTTAAATAGGCAGAAAGGTTCTGATTGACTAGCAGATTCTGGAAAGGCCTAGAGGGTGTGCAAAGATCAAGTAGCCCCGTGAAGGCAGATGGTATACACTGATTGCTGACAAGCAGACCCATAACGAATTGACAGGCAAACCTGCTGTCTTCAAGGAAAAAATATAGTCCAGAATGAATGGAATATCTGTGGCTTCTGGAGAAATAGGCCTGATGCGCCCAGATAAACGCTTCCCCTTGACTAGGTAACATTTTCTAGTGGAATCCTTCCTATGAGAAAAGACATTCTGCACAACTTCAGAACATGATTGCTCTAAGGACGATGCCCAAACAAAAACGAGGCTCTGAGATGAAGCAGCCATTGGCTGGAATGCCTGATATCGCCATGCCCCTGAGTCAGGAGACTAGAACGTGTAGGAATGTGATCGGTGCCCAAAATGACATGGGTAGGCACCAAAACCATCTGAGCCAGTTGAGGGCAATGAGATTAACTCATGCCCTTTCATGCCAAACCTTGTGCAAAACTCGAGGCAAAGGAGTGGTGGTGGAGGGAAGGCATGGCTCAGATCATCTGACTAGGGAAGGAGTAGAGTGTTGCCCTGTGAGTAGCAACCTAGGGCTCCGCTAGAACAGTATATGTTGCACTTTTTAGTTTGTTGGGGAGGAACAGGTCCCTGGTGGGATCCCCTTTAGAGCAAAAAGATTGTTTACCACAGAGCCATGAAGCTCCCACTTGTGATCAACTGCAAGTTGTCGCTGAGAGAGTCCACTAGCACATTCTGGTTTCCTGGGAGGTAGACACTGACAGGGTAATCTGATTGCCAATGCACCAGTTCCACAGAGTGACCACTTCTGCACATGGCAGGGGGGAGGGAGCAGGTGAAGCTTGCTCCTTGTTTGTTGATGTAAAAGCCGGTTGTGATGTTGTCTGACACTGAGCGCATGGTGACCTTGAACAAATGGGGGAAAGGTTTTGCAAGCCCTTCGAACTGCTTGTAGCTCTAGAACATTGATGTGCATCCGGACTCTCGAGCTGTCCAGATGCCTTGTTCTGTATGGTGTCCACGTGGACTCTCCAACCCAACAGGGATGCATTGATGATGACCGTCCTGTCTGGTGCAGAGGCTACTGCTGATTGAAGAGCGGTCCTGGCAACCATTTTGCTTTCCTCTATGAGAGCCTGGAAATGAGCTCTGTCAATGGAGTGAGTTTTGAATAGTTCAGGAAGTCATACTTCGCCAACAGTGCTTGGGAGCTGGCTATTCTGAACTGGAGGCTAGGAGAAGAAAATACTTTCCCCTTCCCAAGAAGCTGAGATGCTTGCCCTGTTTATCAATCAGGGTAGATTGAGGGTGTTACTGCCTAGAACTCTCTACAGCCATTTGGACCCCCCAAAATTAGGAGTAGAATGAAAGAACAGAAATTCCATCACCTTGGCTGGGACATTTCTCTGCCCTCTTGGGCATGGAGGTGCAGGACGCTGGGATTTGCCAGACCCCCCCTAGCTAGCTCCAGGATAGTTTTATTAACGAGGAACACTATTCTACTGGAGCCAGAGGACTGAAGGGTGCTTGTGTTGAGGCTCCTGAACCTCCTCAAGAGGAATCTGCAGCTCCCGTGCAATTTTACAAAGGAGTTTCTGGAAATGCTTAGAGCCATTGGAGGAGGCTGGAGACATTGAAGTCACTACCTCATTTGGCGATGAAGACGGCAATCTCATCTGATCTTGTAGAACTGCTGGATCCAGTGTGTACTTCTCTTCCTCAGTAGAATCTGGGGGCAGCTTCAGATGTCCCCTCAAAGGGGAGGGAAGGGGTGACTCTCCAGGAAACCAGACTGACTCTGTGAGATGGTACTGGTCCCATGGCCCCCAGCATGGCCAAAAGGATGAGTCAAATGGGGGTTGTGGTTGTCCCTAATGCATCAATGGCATGATGAGGCAGAGGTTGGTCCCAAGCTGTTCCAGGAAGGTGTTTTGGAGGAGGACGACAATGATTCATCTCCCCATGAGGAAAAAATGACTTTAATTCCAACACATTTGCCATTGGAAGGAAATCACTGCCCAAAGATGGACAGGGAGACAAACTCCTTCAAAAGGCCGGCTCCCCTGGTGGAGTCATAACCTCTCTCTTAAGAGAGGGAACCAAAGGAGTGGGAGATTCAGGGTCTGGGAGAGCGAAGATGTCGTCAGAAGCAGCATAGGTCTCGTCTCTTACCAAAGAGAGAAGAGTCCTGTTTGCCTGAACCACCAGAGCCACAGTAGAGACAGCATGCCAAAGCCATTAAAGTCAGATGGAACCGTGTATGACCAATGCTCTCGGTCTTCACTGGTGCCGGGGGAAACTCAGGGCTTGTGCTCGGGAGATACTGGTACACCTGATCATGACGTGGTGTCAATGAAGCCCTAGACTCGTGGGCTGCCTTATCATGCCTCAGACTTAGTATGTACTACGTTCTCTTGGGCTGAGTTAGTGCTCAGTTTAGGGAGGGCCACATATGACTTCTTTGAAGTGGATTTGGAGGAAGACTTAGCCTCCTGCTTATGAGAATGCACCCTGCTCTCCCAACAAGACCCCACTGAGGGATCTGTGGGGGTAGACTCCTTTGCTCCTGATTTAGACCTCATGGACGTAGGCATGCTGCTTGCTGAGTCAAGCCAATATACGGGGAGAGGGAGGAGTCCCCCAGCCACAGTCTGATAGTGGCCTCATGGGCTTTCCATTAGGTGCTTCCTAAGGGGAAGTTCCACCCTTTCAGGATATGGCTGGAGAACAAACAGCAGATACTGCACCTTGCTGCAATGTGGGCTTCCACGAGGCAGTACAAGCAGCATTGTTGGTCATCACTGACGGAGGAGGATCACAGGCAGGAAGCAGAAATTTTGAAGCCCATAGTCCTGGGCACAGTCCAGTACCCAAAGAAAGTCTGGGGAAGGGGTGGTGCTCCCCAGGTCAGAGAGACTGGCTAACTATAAAACACTAAAATGGAGAGATAAAAATTTCAAAACCCTCGAATACTAAAACTATTTAGAGATATCTAAATATACTTTCACAGCTAAAGATAAAAGCTGAAGCATCAGAAACAGGAGATTCCAGCCCGGATCAGGCAGTGGTGAGAAGGAACCAGAGAGGCAGTCAATCTGCCCTACCTTTATCTCCTCAGTTGGAGGCGCAAGGTAATCCAGGGTGCATGTGCGGAACAATGGACACTGCTTTCAAAATTCTCCAGCTTCAGGCATACCCACAGTGAAATGCACATCGGACTAGCACTTGAAGAGCAATTATTAGACCTGGACCGTTTTGCTCCCTTACAGCCCACAGCATTTCCCTACAGACACATGCAGTTAAATCAGAGAGGTGATGGGCTCAGGCAGTGAAATTTGGAATTAATGTTCCAGATGCAGCAGAAGCAGCAGCTGGGCTGGGATCAGTATTATTCAGATATTTCTCTCTCCTTTTTTTCGTATGCAGCCTGTATTTCCTTTCCTTCACGTCCACTCCAGTTTTGTGCTGAAGTGAGTAGAGATTTTCATAGATGCACAGCCATGGACAATGTCATGTCAGGCTCTTTCTATATTATATCTGTTTTATTAAAATAAATAGTATTTTTAAGATTGCCCTTTTCCAGCCTGCAGCAAGAAAAGCTATCATTTCTCACTTGTTCAGCAGAAGCTATTGTGCCAAATTACCTAGCATTTTATAAGACATCTCCAGACATGCTGCCCCATCAATCAAGACGACATTTATTGGGTGCCCCACTTGCAACAACTTAAGAAATTGTGGTATGGACACTGCAAGATTTACTGGGAGCTTTGCAGGGATTGAAGTGTTTGTCCTGACTTACAAAGGACAGAAGGTTTCCTATAGTCTGATGAAGTAGTTTAGAGATTACATGAATAAAATGACAGCCAGCTGATAACCTATAACCCACTGGGGCTGTGTCTTGTCTCTCTACGGCCAGGCAAGATCTGGGCTTTCTTGACAAATCTGCTGCCTAAATGGAATGCATCCTTAATGACATGGGGCTGGCTGGAAGATTGTCCCCAAATTAATTCAGGCCTAAATCTTGGGCCTTGTTGCTGCCATGGCATAGAGCCTCGAGATACTAAGTAACCTCCCTGGGTTCTGCAGTGCAGAAGCCAACACGGATCCGAAAGAGAAATATCCAGCACATTCAAGGCAGTCCTAAACGCCTACACAGCCACCCAACTCCACCCCCTCCTGGGGTGCGTTGTTCATGACTCTGCCTCATGCGGCAGTTAGGAGCAGCGGAAATGATGTCCAGGGAAGCTCTGAGCACATGCAGCCTCCCTGCAGGATAGCGACATTTTCCCCCTCTTCGAAGACAATGACTGGTTCACCTTCCCCATTTACAGAAGTAGCATGATGGTGTCTGTGTACAAATGTGCTCTGGTGTCATGTGATTAAAGGCTAATAAACAGTACAGAAGGTGAAGAGCACTGCATTAGGGAAAGTGAAAATACGCTTACCTGAACAGGTCCAATACTTTTGTTCCTGCCTCCTGGCATGCCATCTTCTCTGATTGCTGAAAGGAAAGAGCAAAACGCTGGTTAGGAACACCACTATTCTTTCACATTCTGGAGTACTATTACACAGAGAACACCTGGCCTGCGGGAAATTGCCTGCTGTCTACAGAGACACTGAATCGGAGTTTTATTTCGTTAAATAAGGCAGCTTATGTATATTTCCCCGAGGGGGAAGAGAGAGGCCGTGTAGCATGCACTGAGATTCCCACTTGCAATGGGAATCATAAAAATACTTACTTGGCTGACGGGGCAATCAGAGATTTAAGTAATATTTATATAGCCATTGCAGAGCCTTGCGTGAAAGGTGACGTAGAAATGCAAAGTACCAGATCATCACCAACTGCCTGAAAACTCAAGAGATGATAAAGGGAAAGCACAAGCACCCCACTGTACCACTAATGAGAACTGTGCACAAAACCAATAGCAAACACCTCTTTGGATTAAACCAGGGGCCTGTCAGAGTGTTAACTGATTCCCTCTAGTGTTGAGGCTGCAGACAGCACAAAAGAAAAGACGCTATTGCACAGGGTAAGGTCTCCTCGAGACACCATAGAGCATGGAAAGGATACACTTTACATACAAGTTACCTGTATGTGAAGCAGTGACTTGAAATCCTGGCTGTTTGACTAGTTAAGCAGTTTTGTTCCGAAAGGAGGAAGCCCTTTGGAAGGCTTCTAAATAGTGAGGCGGCATTTCTTAAAGGCTCAAACCATTTATAGAAAGTCTCAACTGTATTCAATTTAGAGCTAGTTCCACCTCTATTTGGCGTTTTCTCTATTCTCCCACAACCCCACTTTCTTCTATTACCAGGGAAATCCTGCACGGGAAAAAGACCATTGTGCCCAAGGATTTCAACTGCTCCTGCTGCTTATTCTTCCAGATGAAACCCCTCTTAACTTTGTGAAATTGTGATCCAATAACCCCTTAATGCTGGCAAGGAGGTTCCAGGAATGCCCTGATTCTGGTCGGTACATTCTGGTTTACCACAGAATGTCACGTGGGGTCTTTAGTGAAAGCCTGGGACATGCTGGTCATTAGTATCACACTGAAATGTACGTACTGACATAGTATGGAGTTACATATGTAGACAGAAAAGAGGCTCCTAGAGCCCATACAAAGGTCTGAGTCTCCAGCAGAGGCGAAAAACAGACAAGAGGTGTTTATTCACCTGTTGCTCTGTTAGCATGCGAATTAAGCACTGCAAGCTAACACTCATTTACATACAAAGTCAATGGAGAGATGTAAAATCAACAGGGAAGCAGCGCACAGGGAAAAAGCCAGGGGTACTTATCCTGTCTCTGAGGACAGACAGTGAACATTGGGGAATACAAGTAGAAGACAAAAAGGGGCATCCCCGTATCCTGCATGTAGGAAGCAAATGGACAGTGTGTTTACATTCTTGAAAATGAAATCTCAGCCAGTCTTGATTGAAACACTACGAGGCACTTTGGGGGTGAGAAACATTTTTAGCTAGGAGGTTAGACTGTTAGTTAACTTTAGTCTCTAGAAAGCATGCTATGATTTTGTTTTATATGTAACCACCATTTGTTTCCACTATTCATACTTACTATCACTTGAATCTTGACTTTTTGATAATAAACATTCTTGTTTTCACTATAAACATATCTCAGTGCTGAGATCAAGGTGCTTATCCTGAGTCAACTCATACAAGCTGGTGCGTACACCATGGGCGTAGTTTGGGGAGATGGGAGGGGCATTGTCCCCCAAACTGCAAGCTTCAGGCAGGCGTGACATTTACCCACACATGAGCAGCCCTGTTGGCCTGACTGGTGCTGCCCCCCCAAATACAGAAGTCAAACTACACCTATGGTGCACTGTACACTGTTCTTTGGGGCAGCAGATTTGGAATTTCTGTGAGTGTTCAGTGGATAAGTCGCTGACCATTACAGGGAAATGCTTCAAAGGGACTCAAGGACTGGGGTGCACATATTGTAAGGCAAAGTAAGAGCTGGCATAGCCCAGAGGAGTGTTCTTGAGTGACTAACAGGTGGCTCTGTAAAGGAGCGGACAGCCAGTTAAGCATAAGCAAGATTCCCTCAGGCTGGAGGGAGGGGGGGTAAACAAGATGACTCTTAGTCCTGAGTATCCTGAGAATCGTCACATAGGTCACAATCCCTTTCCTGGCCACCCACCGTAGACACAGGTGGATGTGGAAGACTACTCATCCCAGCTACAAAGCAGCCTCTTGCTGCTGTGGGGTGCCCTCACTCTCCCTCTGCAGGGGCTGATGAATGACTCATGCAGCAGTGCACACTAAGGGGGCAGGAAGTAAAAAAAAAAAAAAAAAAACTTACAGCCCCAGTACGAATAATCCCAGTGAAGCCTAGTGATGAGTCACTGTTTCAGAGGTTCTCCAACATTTTCATTCTTCAGAGCACTTTGTAGGTGCGATGCCTTCAAGGTACGTTTACCTTGCAGCTCAGAGCGCGCCTCGCAGCCAGGGCCGAGAGACTCTCACTTGCGGGGCTTGAGCGAGCGAGCTAAGAACAAGAGTGCGGAAGTTGAAGCTCGGGATCCAGCTTGAGCTGTCAAGCCTACCTGACTCCCAAGGCTGGACAGGCCAACCTGCGGCCTGAACCACAAGGCAAGGGAGAAGCCACCACAGCCAAAGCTGTGCAGAGAAAACGGCATCACCTCTGGTCTGGCAGTCTGCGGACTGGCACGCAGGTAAGGAGGCAGCAGCAGCATTCTTCATTAGCCTCAGGGGAGAGAAGATTCCATCCACAGCCCCATAAAACCAGGCGGAGTTAATGAAATACAGGGTGCCTGAAGGATGCCTGGGAGCTAGCATCACACACATGGGGTCTGTGTTTTGCAGCATGCTGTGTCACTCCAGCACTGCCCACCTCCCTGCTGAACTGGTTTGACAAGCTGCCAGCCACCCTTCAAAATAGGTATGTGGAACCAGAAGAGCAACTACCTCCTACAACCTCCTCTACTCTTGAGCCTACTCTGTCTACCTGCAGTTGAATTGTAATGCTTACCCTGAACACTCGGTCACTAAACTGGATTTTCTCTTCCTTTTGTTTGCTTATCTGGTTTTCATAGCAAAGGTGTAATCCAGATGAGGGCTCTAGCTGATGCCACCACACTACTTGGTATTCCTTTAGGACACTGGTGATTTTTTCCCCAGCACTTGGAGTTTGGGTATAACACCATTATATATATTTTTTTCTGCCAGGCCAGCACTGTGTGGTCACCATGTTCAGAGAAGATGCCCAGGAGTCTGTTGTACTTTAAGCAGAGAAAATCTTAAACTGAGTTCTTCATTCAAATTTTGTCTGCTTCATCTGGTACGCACTCTGATCTTGTTCAGCCTTCTTTTACAGTTTTTGAGAAGCACTAAAATTCAAACATTAAGTCATCTCTACGATTACAGGACTACTCCCAGGCTGCAGATCTGGAAATGGGTATCCATGCTTGTATCAGCCCACAGCAAGAGAATTGTGGAGCTGTGCACACTGACAGAGTGCTGCATACATTTCTGCTGGTGCAGAACCCGACTGCCAGATTTACACGATCTGAACATATTTCATTCATTTCCAAACCTTTGCATTTGTTCTTGGTTTAAACAAGAGACATTTTAACTTAGAAGAGCTGCTAAATCAAGCCCTTGTGATACTTTGTACTTACCAATACTACTTTATTCAGAGATCTGCAGAGATGCTGCACATCTGGCAGCAGCAGTCCTTTTTGCTGTTCGGCACCCCGATATTGGACTCCCCCTTTCCTTACGCAATAGTAATTACAAGGTGCTTTGCCTGCCTCAAGGTGTTTTTTTTTTAATCATGGTTGGAAACGTCATTTATTTAGTATGTTTTTAAGTGGGATTTTTAATAGAGATTGTTGTTACTCCGTGTGAAGTGCTCCCAGTTCTGTAACTAGCCTATGCCTGTAGAAGTGATGTTTGGTGATGGTTCACATGTTGGGAACAGTTCTGTTAACCTGTGTAACATTTCTTTCATGACTTACATGCTAGAAAATACACAGTGCTAAAACAGGCTGCTCTCCAAGCATTCCTGCACTCCCTGCCTTGGTTACGAGGCACTGTCAAAGGCTCTTGAGGAGAGAAATGGCAAGTTGCAAGCTGAACACATAAGAACATAAGAATGGCCGTACTGGGTCAGACCAAAGGTCCATCCAGCCCAGTATCCTGTCTACCGACAGTGGCCAATGCCAGGTGCCCCAGAAGGAGCAAACTTAACAGGTAATGATCAAGTGAATGCCGAGGGGCCTGCCGACCCTACAAAAATATACAGTTAAACATGGTTGTGAAATATATTTGTGGTCCAATCATACTATAACTTCTTTTCTGGCCAGTGAGGACAGAAAACCCCCACAATGGAATTATGCTTTAACCTGGGTTTCTACAGGGGTAAAAGGATGAGCAACTTTCCTGTCCACCCAACAGCCATATTATAACACAGCTGAGCCGCAGTGAGCTTTGAACATGGGGATTTGATAAGTTACGCAGGCCTGGTTTGAAATACCCTCCCCCCACCCCCCAAGTTTAATTAATTTATTTTTTTAAACACACAACTGAAAAGCCATCCAGCCTGGAGTGTCGTAAACAGCTATAAATAATGTTGTTACCAGTCACCCTCTTTTTACCATTCTAAGAGAACATCTGGTTTTCATCTGCAGAAAAAGCCCTGACTATTTGACTTTGCTCTTCAATGAGATTAATTAATGGAGTTTCCCAGGAGAAGGAAGGAAAGAAAGGAAAACTAGTCTGTATTTCAATGTGGTATGCCTGAGCAGTGGCCAGGAGATGTCGCTGTTTCCTTCTGAATGAACAGCAGCTAAAGCCTTCAAATATTGAGACTTACCATTTAGAATAAAACCCTGAAGGACATCGATCAGTACCTTTGTGCAGATCACAAATGAAGGCAACTACACCCACATAATGCCACAACAGGAAAACCTTCTGTCTGTATAAATAACAACTCTGCCCATAATCTAATGAGTGGGAAAAGTATCTAAATAGAAGGGCCTATTACAAGGATGACAGTTATAAGGCCAGGCGGGGGAGGTGGGGGTGGAAATGAGAAAATCCAATAATTAAACTGGAGAAAGGGGAAAAAAATCATCAAGGGAATAGAATAAGTACATGCAACAAACACAAAAAGCCACATGGGCCATGATCAAAGTGCTTCAAATTCTAACTCTCTCGGAAGACCTTTCTACAGGTCATACTTTGTAAAGATTGTTTTTAGATGCTTTCTGAACCAGAAAAAACACACATGAATTCTTGTAATAAAAATATTTTCAACTATAGAATCCTTGGAACATAAATGATAAGTTTACATTAGATAATTTATAACATAGGCAAACACTCCCAGTCTTTGTAACCTCCAGTGCATAACATGGGACACTCAACAGCCCAGTCACACCTTGGGTGTCTCCCTATATACAAAGGCAGATAAAAGGATTCCTGGAATTTACTGGAGCCCACTGAAAACTGGGACTCCATCGCCTATTGCAGGGCTGAGACTTGGAATGAAGTGAGTCCAGGAAAGGGGAGCTAAGAGGAATGAGGCCTGCATCACTTCACGGTAATCCCCCATCGGCCGCTCAAGGAGCAACAGAGGTTTAAACTTTTGAGGGTCGATATTTAAACAGAAGATTACTGTATAGTTTTGATGATGTCTTTGACAACTGCTAGGGGAAGGTGGTGCATTTCTGGTGTGGCAAGGGCCTCTCACTGATAGACTCAGCATTATAACATCTATGAGAAGGTAGGAGGCAAAGCACACCAACCAGGAGAGTAAACTGACCATTTCTCCAACCCTGGGGAGTTTTGATCATCCAGAACATAAAATTCTCCAAGTTTAAATTTAGCCAGGACTAACCTTTGTTCCTACTGAGCAAAATGCCCTGGGATCTTTTATGAGCACAAATGGTCAGGGCATAATTTTTTTCATCTCATCTCAAACACCATTTACTGTAATAGGGGTTTCACTATAAAACAGTATCTGTGGAACTCTGGGTTTAGTGACTGTATAACATTCTGTATGAACATCTAAGAATGAATTTGGTGAGTGGCTTTCACATTAGTGATAACAAAGTCTTAGGAGAATTACTAGCTGGGTTTAAAAGAAACTACATTTCTGCTTCTGAATCCAGGAAGCAGCCTTTCCCACAATGACTACTCACTTGCCTTCTGAGGCCTAATACCCTCTATGCATATCAAAGGAGCAAGCCTGAACAATCACTATATTACAGCTTCACCCAGTTCTACTCAATTTCCTGTTTGTTGTTGCAAAGTTAAAAAAAATCTGCTTTTAAAATTTAGGAGGCCACATTCCCAAGATTTAAATGGTCAAAATGTTGATGTGTCAGTGAATACCAACATTGCATACCGAAATCAAACTAGGAAGGTTAGTTTTTAAAAATCAGTTCTTTATTCCTGGGAAGAGTAAAAACAATCCTTTTCAAGTTAAAACAGGGATTTGATGGGCTAATTAACCACATCAAAACTTCTTTACAAGAGCACTTTTCTATTTAAATTAAAAGCCAGCATCATATGTGCTCTAGATTACAAAAACCCTGCATGGCCCAGTCAACCACACACCAGTCACCCCCTGATCAAAATGACAACCATAGTATCTGATGCTGCATGGCATTTTAGAACAGTTGCTTCTATCAGTGTTCAGCTGAAAGGAAATATAGTATAACAAAGATTTACTTCAGGCCTTTTCATAGACAATGTCTAAAGTGAATATTCCATTATAAAACTGTTGCCCATAACTCCTCTCCCTCCACTGACTCTGTCAGTTTTTGGACCGTAATTTCTGTGACCATTCAACGATTATTTTAATAGCTATATGATGCAAATGCAGTAAAAGCTACCACACGAGCTAAAACAAATGGATTTTCTCCTCAGTAGTAGAGGGGCAATCACATCAGACTAAATAAGAAGCTAATGCGACAGGTTTTCAAACTGATCAGCGTGGTTCCACACTTTATCTACACCAGGAGATTATAGACAGAGCTCCCCAAATTGAAAGTGCAGAGCTCCTACTCTGCATCACCCTTCTTGGTGAAACTGTACCTGGCAGAAAAGAGGCAAACTATTCATGAACTATTACGACACAAGAGCCACCTCATGAAGAAAGTTTTAAGTGTAAAAGGGCAAATTCTTAGGGGGACGATTAAGGAAAGGTCTAACTGTGGCGTGTGATTACAATGTCAGGCACTCCTGATGTCCGTGAAATCTTTTACTGTCCCTAACTTCCAAGGCCTTTCTGTAGTCTCTAGGGATTTTTTAACTGGCTATTTAAAGCTGTTTCAAGGAGGAGTAATCCAGCAAATGGTAACTATAGTAAAAGTCCCTTCCCCTGCCCTTTCCAAAAACATTTGTCCTTGCTCGAACGCCATGTTTGGTTACGTTTTAAAATCAATCTTAGCAAAAGTCACTTTTCTAATTCTAGTAATGGAGGCACAAACACTGGTTTCCTTAGCACGGCATAAACGAGCTGGCACGTATTTCAAAAGTGAAAGATAACATGCAAGGAGGGTGCTGCACTGTTACCCTCATTGAGTAGCTGATCATGGTGAACAATTTTAAATTCCCATTTTTAAAATAGTGTCAGCTCTCAATTCCCTCCCCCCCTTCCCCCATTGTAACTCAACAGTGTTTTGACAGAACTGTTTTGGAGCAAGCACACACAGGCCTTGTCTACACTAGCCTCTCTTCCCTAAAGTTTAAGGCAGGAGATGAGTACTGTATTCCCACAGAAAGCAAAAAAGACATTTAAGCAGAGCCCTGCAAATCCGCAGATATCCACAGATCATTTTTGTGGATAGTAGATCGGATGCAGATACAACTGCAAAGGACTCTACTCACCGGCGGCGCCTGGCCTGCAGTGTCCAGCTCGGGCAGCCGGGGGGGCATAGCGTGCTCAGCGCCAGCAGCCAGTGGCACCCGCTTGCTGCGCCGCTTCCTGTCCAGCAGCTCGGGCCCCGCCAGCGTCCCCACCATAACATGGCCCAGCAGCACTGGCTGCGCTCCCAGTCCTGGGTCCGGCCTGCCGGCTCCTGGGCAGCAGGGCCCGCCCCTGGCCATGGGGATTGGAGTGGGCAGGGCTCCGGCTCCCCACCCCTCCGCCCCACTGTGATGCAACACAGAGCGCTGCCGCCGTGTGCCATCACTCGTGAGCCCCCAGGAGCAGCATGCGATGCAACGCCCCTTCCCTCTGCCCCCACCATGCCTTCTCCTTGAGATTCTGCCCCTTACCCCCAGTCTCCACCCTTGCGCTGCCTTTTCCCCCGGCTCCCCACTCGCTCCCTCGCCCTACCCCCAGCCCTTGGGAGATGGCTTGCTGCTGTGGATGCAGATACAGGTAAAAGACAGCTAGCAGACTAAGGGTCAGATCGCAGGCTGACCCTGGAGGGTGCGGATCCTGCGCAGGGCTCTACATTTAAGTAGGGAGGAAATTCACTGCCTGAGCTGGATTAACCCTCTCTACCCGTAGAACACAAAAGCATGCCTATATTTGCCTTTGCTGTTAATAGGCAATCACAAGTTTCTCACCCTCTGAGTGGTCAAATAAGATAATATTCTCTCAAAAATTTACCTCTAAAATGAGAAGAAGGTTTGAAAACTTTCACCCCAGAAAATTCGGGGAACATTATAAACCCTGGAAAACTGGGAGTTAAAATGAAAGTGCCTCCTCAATCAGACACCAGTGTGTAGTGTCACTAGCAATGATAAAATGATACATCAGTGTCAAAGCAGGTCTGTTGAGTGGTTTGACAGGTACTGTTCACATCCAGCACAGATTCCCAGAGCACGGCAAACACTGTTGGTAAACTGAACCAATACTGACTTTTGCACCAAACCAAAATAATGAGTGAAGGGGACATCCAGTCCCCTATGGGAGCACAGAGAGATATTCTTGTTAGTTTTTAAACTGACTGTTTAAAGAAACCTTCAAAACATAACATTTTGGTTATCGAAAACTCAAACAAAAGAAGAAATCTTTCTACCCTCTCACAGAAAGAGGTGGCTTCTGTCACACAGAGAAACTGGCTGCAATGTTCTGCCCTGTGTGTGCCCACTAAACAATTAAAGAAGCTTAATTCTCTTTACCTTTCCTATTCATCCCCATCTGGAGGCACTTGAGCAGCCTGCAATACTGGCATCTGTTTCGCTGTTTGCGGGACATGACACAGTTCTTGTCTCGACTGCATCTGTAAACCCGCTTGTTGCAAATGCTCCTTTTGAAAAACCCTTTGCAGCCTTCACAGGAGATGATACCATAGTGCAGACCTGTAGCTCTGTCTCCACAGATAAGGCAGGTTCGCTGATCAACCCGGTCATCTGGAAGAAAAACAACAACACTTTGTAGTCAGAAAATGGCATGCCTGAAAAAATAAATGATCTGAAACCTTCCTTATTCAGTGAGATATGCATGCCCCCACCCTCACCCCCCATGCCTACAACAATGAAAATCAGATCACCATACACCCACAGAGCAGAGCCTTGTGACGCTCCTGGCCTACAGACACACCGCATACTCCTGACTGCACGAAGGCAGCCCTTAGCACCAGTGAGATGCTACAGACTATGGCTGAAGTGTGCATGGGAAAGACATCCCAGCTCAATCTCAGAAATGGCCTCATTTCAAATTAAATATTCAAGAAGATTTTAGCAGAAGTGTGTTGATACTAAAGACCTTTAACAAGAAAGGATGAGCATCTAATGGTTTGAAATCCAAGCAACAGATTGTCCTTGGGTAGCCACAGCATTATTCTGTAACATTATCGCCCCTAAGAAAGGTGTGGCAAGATTAGATCTATAAAACATGGTGTCTCCTGTAAGGAACTGACAGTCTTCCACTGCAGACTTAAGCATCACACAAGGATCTGAGAGGGGAGTGCCAAACCTGCTTCTTGAAAAAAATCAAATCAAACAAAAAACAAACAAAACCACACTACAAGAGAGAAATAGGGCAAAGAGACACACTACCTGCTCTTTAAAAAAGAAGAACAGGAGTACTTGTGGCACCTTAGAGACTAACAAATTTGTTAGTCTCTAAGGTGCCACAAGTACTGCTGTTCTTCTTTTTGCGGATACAGACTAACACGGCTGCTACTCTGATACCTGCTCTTTTGCACTCCCCTTCCATGTACCACTTACAGACACTCGGTTATTTCCCCTAACCCTGCCATCTGCTACCCACTAATAAATAAGTGACTTAAAAAGTGGCCAAGAGAGATTGCATCACATTTACATCATCAGAATCCAGCACCATGATAATACCATAGCAGAGAGAGATGCTGGCCTCCTTCTCAAGTAACGCAAAGGAAGGAGTTGAAATGAGTAGTGAAGGTTTCTTAACTGTACTAATATTATCTGCACCCAGACCACAATAATCCAAGAGCTAGGCTTCTCATCAGTTTCAGTTTCCAAGGGGCAACAGAATAACGGATTACGAGAAGTGATTCATTACCAGCTAATACTTGGGTTTCTCCTTCCACTCCCAGGCCTGAAATCTTCAGTAACATGTTAAATCTCGACTTTCCAGGAATCCCATTTGCAACCATAATAAACAAATAAAGCATTTCATTTCAATTTCAATTTTAGATTATTTCAGGGGAGATCAAGACCAAGAATTCTAATATGATCTGGTGGTGAGAAGGAGGAAGTAATACAGAGCAAAGTCTACGATTCCTTAAAAAAAACCCCACAGAAGTGCCCCATTCGCCCAGTAAGTTAATTTAACAAAAAAATTATACAAATGTAAGGGGAAGGCTGGCACCTTACTGAAACTTAGTGTGTTTTTTGGTACCAAAAGAAAGGGGGAGGGCCAATGAGCTATCAAGACCCTGAGTCTGACAGTCCCCAGGGCCAATGGGGAAAGGCCAACACTCAGGCCAGCAGCCTGACTGACAAGGCAGGCAGGCCAATGAGGGAGCCTGGAGCTGCCTGGCCAGAAGGGCTGAGCTAAGGGGAGAGCAGAGCCAGCGAGAACCAGAGGAACAGTCCAGGGAGCTGAGCTGGAGGCTGAGTAACAGCAGTGCTGAAGCACAGTGGAGCTGGAGCAGTCCAGAGCCAGATGCAGTGAGCAGTTGGGAAGCACAAGGGGGACCCTGGCAGAGGGCCGGCCCAGTGCCGGGAGGAGCTGCCAGCCAAGAAGTCTTGCAGGCCGGACCTGGAGAGGGATCATAACTAGGGCCCTACCAAATTCACGATTTCAGCTATTTAAATCTGAAATGTCAGTGTTATAATTGTAGGGGTCCTGACCCAAAGAGGAGTTGGGGGGGGTCGTGGTACTGCTACCCTTACTTCTGTGCTGCTGCTGGCAGTGGCGCTGCCTTCAGAGCTGGGCAGCTAGAGAGCAGCAGCTGCTGGTCGGGAGTCCAGCTCTGAGCAGAGCCAGCGCCAGCAGCAGCGGCACAGCAGTAAGGACGGCATGGTATGGTATTGCCACCGCCACCCTTACTTCTGCGCTGCCGCCTGCAGAGCTGGGCCCGTCACTCTCCGGCTGCCCAGCACTGAAGGCTGGAGCACAGCAGTAAGGACGGCATGGTAGGGTATTGCCACCTTTACTTCTGCGCTGCTGCTGATGGGTGCTACCTTCAGAGCTGGGCACCCAGCCAACAGCCACTGCTCTTCAGCTACCCAGCTCTGAAGTCAGTGCAGAAGTAAGGGTATCAATACCGCGACACTCCTAAAATAACCTTTTGATGACCCCTGCAACTCCCTTTTGGGTCAGGACCCCCAAATTGAGAAATGCTGGTCTCCCCCCATGAAATCTGTATTGTATAGGGAAAAGCACACAAAAGACCAGGTTTCATGGAGGGGAGACCAGGTTTCAGTCTGTGATGTGGTTTTCATGGCCGTGAATTTGGTAGGGCCTTAATCATAAGCCCAACGGAGGAGCTGACGCTGGGGGGAAGGGCCCTGTCACTTAGAGCCTGAGGATGTTTGACCTGCAGGGTCCCTGCAGCCAGAGCCGACCCTTGGGTACGGTGAATTGGGGCGACCGCCCCGGGCCCCACGCGTTGGGGGGGGCCCTGCGGGCGGGGAGGCGAGGCGGGAGGGGTAGGGAGACAAACGGCATGCAAGGTGGGCGGGGGGGGGGGCAAGAAGGAGCCCACCTACCAGAACCTCCCACTCCCCCAGCAGATCCCACTGATCAGCGCCTCCCCCTCCCTCCCAGCCCCTACCGCCTGCTGTGGATCAGCTGTTACGCGGCATCAGGAAGTGCTGGGGGTGAGGAGTCAGGGCCAAGCTCGCTTGGAGGAGGAGGTGGAACTGGGCAGGGAAGAGGCGAGGTGGTGTGGGGCTTTGGGGGGAGGAGGGGAGTGAGGGCGGGGCCTGGGTGGAGCCAAGGGGAGCACCCCCTGGCAGTTAGGTCCCGAGTTTCTAATGTCTCGGGCCCCGCACCACCCTAGGGACGGTCCTGCCTGCAGCACATGTGAGGAACAGACACTGAACTTCCCCTATGCTCCAGACAGGTCTGGTTTTGGTTTCCCCATGCCCACAGAGTGGGATTACTGGTTTTCTTTAACCTTACCCTTTTTTCCTTATTTTTTTAATTGATTGCTGTTTAATAAATTGTATTGCCTTTGAACTACACCTCTACCCCGATATAACGCTGTCCTCAGGAGCCAAAAAAGTCTTACCGCATTATAGGTGAAACCACGTTATATGAAACTTGCTTTGATCCACTGGAGTGCGCAGCCCTGCCCCCACAGAGCACTGCTTTACTGCGTTATATATGAATTTGTGTTATATCAGGTCGCATTATATCGGGGTAGAGGTGTATATGCAATGATCAGTGGGTCAGGGAAGCGTCTAGAGTGGAGAGAGTACCCTGGAGTGGGGACATCCGAGCCCCTGTTCTAAGTGACCACAACAAGATTAGGTGTCGAGCCCCCCAGGAATTCTGGGCCCAGCCTTGTCGGGTTTACAAGGACTCTGCCACACAGGAGAGTGGAAGGGGAGTCCTCAAGGTCAGGCAGACCTCTGGGTAAAGAGAGTGGGAATGGGGACTCAGACCCTTCCGCTAGCCAATTCCACCAGGGTAATGTATAAGCCAGGAAAGTTCCCCACAATAGTGGGACAATTCCCCCGCTTACACGAGGGCTTGTAAAATAAATTGCAGTTTGGATTCTGGAAAGTGATTATTTTACATTGCAATAACTGTCCTTCTTTATAATACCCTAATCATGTCACAAAAATGTACTTTTTCTTTATTCCACACTCAACATTACTGCAGAATTTAAACCACCATACTTCAGTGTCAAAATGAGAGACTTCATGGCTTCCCGTGATCCCATTTCATGTGTTTCTTTTAACTGTAGTTAATAAAGAACAGAGTTGAGATCAAAGGCTTGAGTGACACATTTCCTTACTAATGTGGTCCATGGATATTGTATTACCTCCAAGATCCATATTTTATTTCCAATTTTATCTTTGTTTAAATGAAAACTTTCTGCTCAATATTGGATATTAACAGTAAATGTGTGCTACATATTAGGAAAATGCCAATACCTGTCCAAAGCTTGGAAGAAAACACAAGTTTATAACAGATTAATTCTGACAATGATGGATTTCAGATTCTCATGCAGACTCAAGGCACGACACTGGGGAGCATTAGCACATCAATTGAAATACTATGCTGTGTCTTTTACTTCTCCTACAGATTGCTCCTCCTCTCTGAGGTACTGTGCTAGTAGCACTACGAGGGCAGCAGCACTACCCCTTAGTTCAACAGTAGTGTAAGAGGAGAGGACAGCACTCGGAAAAGCGATACAGCACAGACTGAGTGCAAACGGCAGCACTACTGTGCACAGGGCAACCAGTGTATGCAGAACCATGCCTGGGGTGGAGTGGGTAGCTTGGTAAGCATGACAGGCTTGCTTCAGTGCTCAGGTTTCCATATGGCAGAAATAAATCAGTGTGACTGAGGTGGAGGTGGCTGGCAGAAGCCAAATTGGACTTCCACATGGAAAGCTTTGCTCTAAGTCAACTGACATGATCAGAGAGCGAAAGCAGAGAAAATTTGGCCAACAGATACACATTGATCTCTCTGCTATATAAACATGAATGGTTATAGCTTGTGTTTTGTTCAGGCAGGTATGAGACACCAGAAAGATGGGGTTGTCTCTGTTTTACCCCAGGAGTATCAGCAAAAGCTTTGCTGTGCAACTGACACACAAGAATCCAAATGAACATTATACAAATGATGATAAGGTTAAGACACAAAGAAAAAAATCCAGTCAATTCCCTTTACAAATCTTAATGAGAGCCTTTTGGATGAAAAAAATGTAAATTGTACTACTCCCAGCAATAGGAGCTGTCATATTAAA